GTTTATCAGATTTCCTGATCTCCTGCTGCACATGAACCGGGAGTTTTCCAACGCTTTCTTTATAATTAGGTAACGGAGGCCTCAGGTTCCCATCCCCTTTGCCTGGGCAGGAGGAAGTACAGGCTGCACCTGGTGGTACCAGCACGGCTAATTCCCAGACGAGCTGCTGGGGAAGGCGGCTGGTGCTTTGTTTCACCAGCAGTGCTAAATATAGCCCAAATCTGAGCCCTCCTGGAGCCTCGCTGGTGGAGCCTGCCCTGGCCAACGTGCAGAGCTGCTGTCTGCCCCGGCAGCTTCGTGCTGGGGCAGAAACTGGGGCACCAGGTTTTTCTAAGATGCCAGTTAAGGCACTGAATTAGTGCTGACATGGAGGTGACATTCCTCCTCTTTTCCTCCATCCCTGGCTCCATTTGTATCTCTGCGTTTGTGTCATGACAAAGGGGAGCAGCAATGCAATACCCTTTGGAAGAGGAGAGTCATAGAATCATAGAGGCCTGAGCCTGCTCCAGAAATTATTAAATCTGGGTTTAATTTGGTTTAGCTGAGGGTGCTACCTGGGTGTTGGGAGGTGCTGTGTTTCAGAAAGGTGGCCCTGGTGCTGTGTGTCCTGGCTCATCCAGCTCTTTCCAGCATCCAGGCAGCTTTGTGCATGCCCTAAAAGAGAGCAGTAAGCCATGGAAAACTCGGTGCTGGCCAAGATTAGAAAATCCATGTCCTCTGCATCATTTGCAGTGTTAATTCCGGTAAATTATAGTGCTGCACTTTGTAATTTATCTGGAAGATGGATTCAATTAAATTGAAAAAGAGCTAATTTAAAAGTGAAGGTATTCTACTTTCTGCGGTTCTGCGGAGCTCCCTGCCTACCAGATACATTTAAGGCTTAAAGCATGCTGTGCCCCAGAAAGCAATAAATAATTGCACAAATAACTGGAACAACTAGAATTATAATAGATCTTCAAAGAAAATCTCCAAAACTTTTGGAAAGGCTAAAGCCTTAAGGCATCAGCTAGTCTTGAGGGACTAGGAAGAAAGACTTTGTGTAGGGACCAGGTAAAGCCAGGTTTGCATCGGGCGTTTTGCACCTCTCTCTGAAGGGTCTGGTGCTAACTGCTCTTGGAGACTCGTTGGGTTCATCCTGCCGGCTGCCCTACAGACAGAGATGTTGGAGTGTTTTATGATTAAATATGTTTGGGGTAGTGCTGCTTAAGGAAAAACTGTCCTGGCGGTGCCAGGACTGAAGAAGGTGAGGAATTATCCCATGGAGCTGGTGCAGTGTTGCTGTGTGCAGGGGCACAGCTGTTCCTCTTTCACATTGCTGTTTTAAAGAAGGGCAGTGGACTTGCTGGTGGACTTGCCAGTGCAGGTAGGGCTGAATCTGGTGTGCCACAGACAGCTCAGTCTAATTCTCGCTGTTTGGGTCCCTAACTATAAGGTTAAAGTTGTCTATAGGCTGCTAGCGCTCCTCAGCAGAGAAAGCCAGCAGGCTGTGCCGTGGGGAGTCAGATGGGCTCGCTGATGGGAAAGGCAGCAGCTTAGGAGCTCCGCAACAGCAGCAGTAAAGCAGTTTGCTTATTAAATTGTATCATCCCCTGTGTGCTGCCTTGTTTTTGTAGATCGGCGACGATTGCCAAGCTGTTTGCGGTTAAACAATGCAGACTCTTGTAATCCTGCTCCTCATCTCGCCTAATTAAGGGCCTGGTCATGCTGGAGCTTTGCCCGAGCGAGGGCTCTGGGGGCAGTTGTTCATTCTGGTGCGGTGCCAGGACCGCGTGTCCATGATAGCGCCGTTTCCTTTGAAATCAATTGAGATGTCACCATCGCTTGATCCCAGAGCTACTTAATGAACTGGCAAAATGGGCTTTATATTTAGACCTCTCTTCAAACTACTGTGTGTATTAAAGCTCCCCTTGTCCTTAACACTGGGACGGCGTTGGGCAGGATTTATTGGTTTAGTTTAATAAGAGGCATATAGAACTGAAATAATAAGCTCCATTTCCTTGAAAGTGAGGAAAATTAAAATGGCATGGTTAAATGCGGGCAGCCGCCTCGAGACAGTAAAGCGATACGTTCACGTGTGGCCAGAAGGATAAGGTGGAGCTGGGTTTTTCTTGTCTAAGTTACAACAGAGCCAAAGATTACAGACGCACGACTTTGGGGAGTTCTCGCAAGCTTTGCGGATGGGATTTCTAAATGTTTTCTGAGTAGGATAAAACTCTTGGTGGTTTATTAGACAAGCTCAATAACTTAAAGAATATCTACTTCATTGCGAATGCTAGTGTGCCTTCCCCTATATGTTTATAATCAGTGTCAGAAAAGTATTTTTGCTAAAATAAGAAATAAACAGAGACATAGGTAATTTAGATGTTTTTACTTCTTACTGTATTCTGAAGCCGAGTTGGATAAAATGTAATTTCAGGAGGCTGCTGAGAACGCCTTGAGGCTTTCCCTAGCATTGGTGTTTGCACACACGTGCCCTTCTGCGGATCATACGTGGGGTTTGGGGGTTTGCCCTCTGTGGGCTCACAGCCTACAGGATTGCGCAGCGATGAGGTAAAGGGACAGGGTGCACAGTTTTAGTGCGAGTGGCAACTGTCTCCCATTCTTCCTCTCACCCCACTAGATGGAAATGTATGTAATTGCAGAATGCATCTGTGCTTGCTTCTGTTGCACAGTCAAAATAAATAAAAGCAAAAAAGCTCCAAACCAAACCCAAACCCCATGTAGTAGAAATACAAGATGTACCAAACAGGTCACCCTTGAGCCCAGGCTCGGGGTGGAGATTGGCTGTGGCAGTGATGATTTCAGCATCTCTCTGTAGGCTGCTGCAGACTAACCCAATTTTTTACCCCCATGCTCCAAGCTGGAGGAAGCAGTCCAGCTTTGGACTGGGAGTTGTGTGATTTTATCAGGTGAAACTGCCCATGTCTATGCATGCCGCAGAAATGAAACAACTCTACAGCTCAGCTCTACAGCTCCAGACCCGAGCTGGTTTGTGCTCAGCTCCAGAAAAGTGAGGCTGGACCCATCCCTGTCTGTTCTGATAGTTGAATGCCACGTGAGTGCAAGGCAGCACCGTGCTTGCTTCAGTTAGGCATCCCCTCTTGTTTTTCTCCATCCCTATGCTTCAAATATTTCTCCACCACAAAGTTAACACCGCTCCTGAGTACTGATTGTTTTGCATACCTTTAAAACCACCAGCTACGTGATTTTTGTGTGTTTGTGCAAATGGTTTTGGCTTTTCTACAAGGGAGGTGTTCTTACTTCTAAAGGGTATTTTTGCTTATATGGTAAATTCCAGCTTAACTTTGTGTGATTCACGAAGTCCCGGCTCACTTCTAAACACTGCTGCTGTCTTCTGGGTATGCGCTCAAGGAGATCATAGGGAGAGTTGGTGATACTTTGGGTGTGGCCTAATCACTGATGGTTTGGGTTTCTTGGGTGGGTTTTTTGATCTGATTTCTTAAATCTTTTCTGTAACGAGTCCCTCACTAGGATGGCCAAATTGTAAGCACTGGTTTTCTCAAACTGATGTAGTTATTTTCTTCTTTAGATTAATCCTATTACATGGAGCTGTGACCTGCAAAGCATTTGATACTAGAAGTGGACTCTGAAGTACTTGCTGAAATGCCTTGAAAAATCAACAAGAACTAGCTAGGATGTGCAAACTATGTGTAGCTGTTCATGTTGAAGGGGGAGGAATAAAAAGCGGTTTCCATTCCAGCTTCCTGTCATCTGCCAGTTTTATCTTTTCCTGAAGTTTTTACCCTTTGAACTGAAATCACAAAGTCTAGACTCTCTGCAAAAGATAAACTTTGGCTTTCTTGGTTTGGGGATAAGAGGGACTGGGGGGTGAGAGGCAGGTTCTCAGGAAAATCCTGCTATTTTTAAGCTTGAATAGTGGAAGTAGAAATTAATTTAACAGTTAAGAGTGTTTGGCCATTTGGGTGGGATTTTTTCTTTAAACTGACTTCCAGCAGTTGATATAGTAAGTTAAAAGTATAATGCAACCAGTAAGTGGTTGTATTGGAAATTTTGTTGTCCTTGCTATGAGCTGTCTGAATAATCGCGCAGAGGATGCATGGTGGGTGGTGGGGTGAAAATGCAAAAGGAATTAGTCTGTGCATGGGGAGCGTGTCGAGGATCGCTGGGTGGTGGCACATGTAGGAAAATTTGACTGCTGTAGCTTGGTAAAGGAAGCAGCAAGTGGAGAAGGGAGTCACCAGGATCTTCCACAACACATGGGTTGGGGAGAGTCTTTGCGGGCTTTGCACATGGACGGCTCTGCTCATCCCTGACTGTGTGGGTGCGTGTGGCCGTGCAGCTGTACCTTGTCACCTTGTATTGTCACCTGCATCTAGGCAAACACGGCGGGTAAACAGACTCCTCCTGTCTTGGTTCGTTTACTCAGGGTGGCGGGGTTGTGAGTCCACGTGTAAATTTACATTGAGCATTTCCAGGCTTTTAAGTGCTTAGCTGTGTAATCTTCATAACTTTCTGTTAAATTAACTTTTCATCCACTATGCATCGGCATTCAGCTCCAGCCACTTTTTTATGTGGTTTTCTCTATAAAGATGTGATGTCTCTGGAAGCTCCCTGAGCTGAACAAACTGCAATAAAAGCTACATTAAAATTTTATTAAAATGCATGTGGAAGGACCTGAATGAGGTGCTCTGGATGCTGGAGGCACTCTGGGGGCGTTAGCGTGGTAACCTGCAGAGGATCCCTGCATACTGAGGTGTACCTGTACCCATCGTACATACTGAGCTGTACCATACTGAGCTGTACCTGTACCCATCGGTAAGATTTGCAGTAATGTCCGAAAGCATTGCTGAAAATTACTTACAGAAACGTGTGCTGGCTTAATACAATGACATGTTTTGGAAAAAAAAAAGATGATGTGCAGTGGAATTTTTGTCCCTTAGTAAAAATGAGAGGAATCCCATCAACTTCTCTGGTTTACAAGTAAATAAGTTTTTTGGGGGTTTTTAAAATTTTTTCAGGTGATGGAAACTGAGAAGTCTCAAGATCCAGCTTGTGCAGAAGTGTCCAAAGGAAACAACCAGAATCCAACTCTTGGAAGTGGCATACTGAAATACAGAAGTCGATCCCAAGGTAAAGCTGGGTTGATAAAAGATAGCAATAGTAAGATTTTTATGTTGTGTATTTATTTTAGCTCTCTAAAAGTGAGATAGGTTTTCTTTCCTTTGGAGATCATACTAGTTTAATTTGGAAGGAAAATCCCAGCTGTAGGATGTTTGTATTCAGCCTCTTGAGTTGAACTATTGTATGGGCAGAAAGATGAAGCAAAATTTTGGAAGCTTCTTTCCTTTTTTTTTTTTTGTTCTTTCTCTTCTCTCTCACTCTTTTTTTAACATTTACATTCCCTATATATTTCAGTGTGCTCTAATACTGAGGTGGGGGACATGTTTCAACATGCCATTACCAAAATACCCATTATGGCGGATATTCCTGAAATTTTCTATTGCTTTGTCCCCAGGTCTTAACAGTAACCTGCGTGCAGAGCTCGATCACGTTCTCATCCCTAATACTCTCCAAGTCTCCCGCCCTCCTATGTTCACCTTAATTTCCATCTACTCAGATATTTTTAGCATGCTCCAGGGAGCTCCTCTGCCTGTAGCTCCTGTGGCTGTGTGTTGGGGGGATCCAGCCCTGGTTCCCATGAGTGGTGATGCCCCTGGGCTGTGGGTGAGCCTGGAGCATCCCCAAGCCTGGGCTGCAGCACAGGGAGGGAAGCTGTGTTCAGAGATGGGCAGAAAACACAAATATAACTGTACTAGAAGAAGAGAGGGAGAGGTGATGGGAAAGGGTTAGTTGTAGGTGCCAGGAGGGTTTGGGAGTGAAGGAAGTGCCAGGATGCCAGTCCTGCCAAGACAGCTGTCCTGGCTGTGTGCAGCAGCGGTGCCCTGCGTGCCTGGGGAAGGGGAGCTTTAAAACCAGAGGTAGTTTCACACCTCAAAGAAGGGATCGGGTTTAAACGGCACTCTGGTGAGCAAGTACAAATTTTGCCTATGGATGCAGCAGCAGAATTGTTTTAAAGCTGAGTGAAAACAAGCGGCTGCCCCAGCTCCGTGCTCCATCCCTCCCTGGTGCTGGCAGCAATGCTTGCAAAGCCTCCAGGGCAGGCGCAG